TCTTCTTTTTCTGCTTCGCTTTCTTCCACCGCTAAGGGTCATTGCCGATCAAGAGCACAGGATGCGACGAGGACGGTTGAGCACGGTAGACGCCCAGGGTAGCATTCTGTTCCGGCGAGGCGAGGAGGATGCAGTGGACGAAGCGAGACGAGATTGAAGCGAAGGAGGGAGGTTGTTTAGGCGCACCAGGGGACGAGGATGGTGGTGAAGATAGCAGGGGTAGTAGTGGTTGTAGTAGTTGTAGTCAAGGCGAAGGCGGCGGCGGCGGCGGCGGCGGAGGCTTGATTGGGCCGCATCAATGAGGGACGGACAAGACGCGAGACGAGGGAAGAATCATCGGACCGACGTTTGGCGCTAATCTTTAGGCTAAATAGGAATTGAACGCAGGGGAGTACTTGAGCGATATGATATTCCGGGGGGGGGGAAAGGAGGAGGGGGAGGGACAAGAAAGAGGAAGAAGAAGAAGGGGGCGAGAATGGATGACGGAAGGATGGGGGGAAATTGGGTGAGCGGATAAAATTGGGGGAGGGGAAGAAGAAAATCCGAGAGAATAAAAGGCAGAAGAGAGAGAGAGAGAGAGAGGTCTGGGGGCGAGAGAAAGTTGAATTAAATTAAAGAGAGAAAGAGAGAGAGAAGCGAAAAGCCAGAGCAGGAAAAAAGGACGAGGGAAAAGCGGCGCGGATCGTCGCTGAAGAGAGCCAAAAAAGCAAAATCCCCAACCATTGAAAGCGTCCCAAGCGATTAATTCGTGCCTGTCAAAAAACTAAACCATCTTGACTGAACTTAGATGCGTGTCTAGTTCTGCGACTAACATTCGCACTATCTACTAATTGCTCTAGTTAGTTAGTTAGTTATGCTTGCTCTCCGATCGATCCATCCTCTGCAGTGGTCCCTCCTCCACACCACCTCCAGTGAGCGTAAGAAGTGCTATCTATCTCTCTCTGTCTCCTTTTTTCATTAATCCCTTCGTAATCATATCATCTTTTCTTTTCCCTCCAAACACCACCACCAGCCTCTCTTCCTCTCCCCCGTTCCACACTCACTCACTCAATTAACTCACTAACTCATCGCTCACCCCGACACCTTAAAATCCCCTACCCTCTCTCTCTGACAAGCACAATCCATGGATCCCAGCCAGCCAAACAACCAACCACCGGTCAATGCGGGGAAATTCCCAAGGTTGACCGCAAAAGTATATCACCTCTTTTCTTTTGCCCACACTATCGGACCCATCCGCTGCAAGCTCGGCCTGACAGGTCACTCCCTCAACTAACAGTCACTCCTTTTCTTTCGTTCTTTCTTTTTTTTCGTCGTTTCTCCCTTATCAGTACTACTATTTTATTTCTCTTTTCTAGGTTCTGCGCTTTTCTCTAGATATCCGAAGCAGCAGCAGCATCTTAGACCCAGCATTGACCGACCCATTTTTACTGATGATCACTTGCTCCGAGATCAGCGTTCTAAACATGACAGATCAAAAGCAGCAAGCAAACACTCGAAGATTGTCTAGATTAAGTACAGTACCTCTCTCATGCAGAGCAAAATAAACATGCTTAACTGTACTAACAGAATATTATGCTCTGAGCCGGTCACAGAAAGACAAGGGCCGGGCCCCAAGTCTTTCACTTACTTAGCTCAGCTTGTTGCAACGCCATCCCATTTAAGGTTAATGCGGCGATGGTGCCTTCGCCCCCTGGAGAATTTGGGGGGGATTTATTTGGGTTGGGGATGGGTGGCGTCCCAGGATTACCCTTACCCTTAACCCTCTCTCTCTCTGCCTTGCTCATCACATGAACAATGGGTCTGCCATGACGTACTCAGACCATGACTCGGCGACTTATAACCTAAATCTCTATCCTCTTATCCTTTCCTTCATCAAGTAACCGATGGGCTAGATGTGATCGGCCGCTGCTCTCTCCCAGACCCCCATCCCCCTGCTTCTTCCTCGGTGACCTGGGCTGGTCCATGGTTCGGCCCGGATCTCGATGCAGAGGATAATAGTTATTGTCTACCCTACCTACTTTCACTTATATAGACTTTACTTTAGAAAACAGACGTAATATTAGACTTCGTCCATTCATCCCCCCCCCAATTTGGAAAAAAAAATTTCTGGGGAATAAATCTAGTCAAGCTCAATCAATGGGTATTTTCCTCCTTCCCCAGTCACCGGGTCCTGATACTGCTCCAAGGCCTCCTCAACTGCCGCCATGTATCCCAGCACCTTCTCTTCCTGCCATCTGCGCCCCACCACCTGCACCGCGGTAGGCAACCCCGCCATCTTCGCCGCGTCGTAGTGCTTCCAGGCACCGTATGCCACCGCGTTGCTGGCTCCCAGCTGTTTCAGCACCTTCTTGTACGGTCCGGACAGCGCATCCTTCTTCGCGTCCACGTGCGAGACGGGCAGGACACCGGCCGTGTAGTCCAGCAGGTTCCAGAGGAATGTGTATCCGCATGAAGATACCGCATCGTGCATGGCTTTGTGGGGCAGAGCCGGCGTCGCATTGACGGGGCAGAGGATGAAATCGTACTGCTGCGTCTCGGCATCCCACCAGCTATGCCAGGTCGCCCGGAAAGCTTCCCGCTGGGCAGTGAGCTTCCAAAGCTCCGCCGCAGACTTGGGGGCAAATCCGCGGATCAGCGTCGCCCACTTCTCATCCCGTCGGATGTACCGAACCCAAAGATAGTAGAGATAACGCAGGGGACGGGGCAGATTGCAAATCCGTGTCAGCTGATCCGCACCAGGGTCGGATGGCTCAAAGCTGTGCAGATGCGAGTTGAAAGTGACGCACCCGTCAGAGTTGAGCAGCTGCGAGGCGAGGGAGAGACCGGTAAAAGTGTCAGCCGCAGCCGGGGGTGTGATCTCAGACACAGTATGTCCAGCGGCGGTGAGGGCGGCTACTGTGGTGGAAACAGCACGTGCAATGGCCGGCGTTGGGGGAACAACACCTGCATGTGGTCAGTAACGTCCAGCAGCATCCTTTACGTCTCCACTCTTGAAACTTACCGTCATTGCTCATGAGGCCGATTCTCAGCTTTTTGTTTTGCGCTTCGCTTTCCTCATCTTCTCTCCAGGAGATAGGGTGGACGGTATGGTCGTAGTTCCAAGGCTTCATTCCGACAATAGCTTTAGTGAAATAGGTGAGATCGTTCAAAGTACGGGCCATCGGGCTGAAGACACTGGCAACACCTTCCTGGCCAGCCATGCTGGTGTTGACTCCAACCTTGGGCCAACGGCCAGTACTACAGCGGAGGGAGTAGATGCCGCTCCAGGCCGCGGGAACGCGAACCGAGCCAGCGACATCAGACCCGATACCGATGCGACCACCAAGAGCCAGCAGAGCACCTTCACCACCCGTCGAGCCTCCAGGGGAGTATTCAGGGACGTGTGGGTTAAGGCAATGACCCCAGAGAGCATTTGCTGATTCGAACGACAGAAGCGTCACGGGCAGCGCCGTCTTCGCATATGGGACGGCACCTGATGGGGTTCATCATTAGCGAAGGTATACTTTTTGCGACTTCTCGTAATTTAGGCCACGTACCAGCATCCTTTAACAGCTTTGCCATTGGTCCATCCTCCTTATACGGTTTACACGCAAACTTGGTATAGCCAAGAGTAATATCGAAGCCCTTGATTTGCACCGAGTCTTTCAGAGAAATGGGCACACCCGCCAGGGGACCCTTGAGGTTTACTTCGGACTGGGCCCATGATTCTGCCTCAGGCAATAGAAGCTCAGTCACGCAGTTTGTCTTCTCGTGAGCCTTGACTGCAACCTTGCCGTATGTGCGCAGGACATCTATAGGTGCCAGGGAGTCATTCTGGACCTCATACACCAAATCCTGGATAGGCTTGTTGATGATAGCTCTGTCGATAGCCGAGAAGGGCGCATGGTAGTCTGGCGAAAGCGATGCAAATCGAGCCGCCCGCTCCCTCCTCTTGAGGTCCCTGTAAATGATCAGTGAGCCATCGGCCGAGTTGCATGTGGGTTATGTAGGACAGCTTGGGTTGCTGCGTGGAGGCATCGGGGTAACCTACCGGATGCGACGGTACGTAAAGTAATCAAAGGGGGGAAGCATCGTGTGTCACCTCCTTAGGAGTCTGTGCAGAAGCCCAAGGGGGAGAACAGAGAGAGACAGAGAGGAGGAGAGCAACGTTTCGCGCAGCAAAAGAGATCCGTCACAACGCAGGGGGGCGCCTTCCTTTTATTGCGGGGGAAGCACCACACGTGCGGAGAAGCCCGATAAGCTAGACCCGCTGATAAGCGCTCTCTGTCCAAGCTGACTTGTTCGCTTCCGGTACGGCGTCCGCTGAGCTGTTCGAGCTTCCAATTCATCACGATAAGCTATGACAGTCATGTCTAGATACACCTGGAACCTGTTCGTTACTCACGCTGTTAACTTGGGCCTGTCACATTCTACTGAGGATAGTTATTCAATGCAAGAGCTTCCTGGATGACAATGCCAGATACAACACGTGACTGATACAGAAGCGGCTGTTGGCGCTTGAGTTGCCGCATTCGGCAGGTCCATGCGGATAACAAGCTTCCTAGTATCATTCAAGTAATAAACGAAGACTAGACTGCTCCTACACAAACTTCTTATCTCCTAGTCTCGTCTAGTCATCTGCTACTTGACACTTGCCATTAGTTTAGTAAGCGATCCGCTTGTCTCGTTCAATTATAAGTTCAAGTCGGATCAGTCGGCTCCCGACACTGCCGAAGGTTGATAGTTTAGAAATGTGCTAAGATATTCTGTGCCTCAGGGAGTCCACTCGTTTCATTATTTGGGACCATAGCAAGGACCACCCAGCGTCTTCTAAGAAGATTCGAGTCAACGTGAAGTCCATCATGTTTGATCATTATAAACTCAGCCGCGCCTAGTAGATGCCGGAATGTCCGCGAGCATATGCCGGGTATTCTTCTCCGAAAGCCAACCTTGAACGCCGTATGATGAGACTGATTTTACAGATGAGACCTGCTCGTCCATATCCAGTCCAGATGTCTTATTCACAGAATCCCCTGTCTTTCCACATTTCCGCTTCCCCAACCTCGATTTCCAAAATCTCCGCCTTTCCTTTTCAGCTGAGATGGTATGAGATGGCCCCAGCACAGTTTCCTTGGGAGAATCGAACCTTCAGTAACGTTGAAGAACTCGTACTTCCGCCTTCTATTGATGATATCGCGACCAATGTTGCATTCAAACACCACTGAGCCACAGGGTATTCGTTGTTGATTCGTATGGGCCAATGAAGTTAACACTTTTGTCTCACATCGGCACTGCTTCTGTTTCAGGCTTGAGCCAGTTCTTCGATTTCAGCCACAAGATGACGACAACAATGGCCGCAACAATTATCGCTACTATGAGAAAGATCAAGATGCCACAGATGAAAGTCCGCCTTCTTTTCTGGCGTTGGGCCTCAATCCAATGATCTCTGCCGATTTTCATTGATAATTAGCCAGGTGAACTATAATGTTACACGAGGGACCCTGACATACGTCCAGATGGTAGGTTTCTTTGGTCCTGTTTCCGTCTTTGCTTCTTCGTCGAGGTGCATAGCGGCAGAGAAGCGTTTCCAGAACGCCGGGTCCCGGACAAGTGCCATGATCACGCTGCGCCACTAGTTGCCAGACATGGGGTGCCGCAATTCACTGGTTTCAGAATAAATAAGGTGTCCGTGCCGTCGATTGAAGGGCCGTACGATGGCTCAGCCTGGAGCTTGGAGGCGTCAAGGATAGTAAATTTGAAGGATATCAACAAAGCTACGTTGACACAGTCAACCAAAATATGAGCGGTAACGTACGCCTTCGCTTACGGCTGGAGCGCCAGCGAAAGAGAGTGAAGTAGAGATTGAATCAGTCTAACAATTGAAGGCTTCACAAAATGGACTAGTTGTGACCTCCCGAACGACCATAGAACGAGAGACGTCAACAGGGAGCGCAAACGCGGGTATAACAGGGATTAAGAAAAATAACAAAAGCTCAAGCGAGGATGGATCAGGGACGATCGAGGGCATTATTGCTGAATACCAGCAGCATCGGATGCTGGACTCGTTGCAATGCTGCCGTAGAGGTGCGTGAATTCCAAACAGCTCGGCGGGAATGACGGGCCCGGGCCAGGGTCGGCGCGGAATCTGGATCGGCAGCACGCCGTCCAATCACAACCACCGGAATCTGACAGGTCTGGTCCTGCACCCAATAAAACGAGCATCTTCGGCCCACGGTTCGATTGATTAAGGTACGTGGTCATGCCGGTCGGCTTGATCTGGTCAGGCACGAGCAACAAGCATGGCGACCCGGTATTTCGATGCCTATCAACAAACAATTCTCCCAAAGTCCAACCGCGTCGCAGCAGTCTTCCCAGGCTAGGCCAACGAGGCCAAAGTATGTCCCTCAATATTAAAGGTTGTCCCGGTACTTTGAGAGAATGCTGTAAATTATTCCCCGAATATCTCCAAACCTTGATTCTACTCACATTCTTCGACTGTCCGACTCGCAAATGTTCTGCGATCTGATCTGGCTCTTCAGGTATTGATTCAAGAGGCCTTTCATGAAGAAACTCCAGGGCCGAAGCACAAGATTACAGGCGTGGACGGATACTTCGACTTGTGCCTATTCAGTACCTCCAATTTCGTGTCTGAACACTGGGGACCCTGAACTGGTTTGATAAGCCATGCTTATCAAGGACATTTCGGCATAGCAATGAAGTACACTTACAGCATCTGAGTTTGAATCATCTTGGAGCTCATGCGACATCCTCATGTGCATGCATGATTTGACTCACATAGGCCATGTGCACAGAGTATACACACATACTGGCAAGCGCGGCCAGGAGAGAAAACGCCCCACCCACCATTAGCCAAGCCGAAGGCTTGTCTACTGTCTAGACATTAATAGGTTCTGCAATGGGAATCAAGAGTCGTGTAAGGGGACAAGCAGTTTCAACATTACCTTGTCTGTCCTTCGTGGGGTTGCTGTGAGGGACGAGTGGCTGGCAGCTATGTTAATTCCATTGGCTGGAACTCAATTATCAGAATTGAGCTTACTCACTGCGAAACTAGTTGGGCCACCTGGCATTGAATAGCCTAACCCTTGTTTCACGGATGCTTTACTCCCGTACGGCATAAGGCGAGCATCAGCTCGAATCGGTGTTTCACCAAGAACTGTGTTCATCATGGAGGGTGAAAGAAGCTGGATCTACTGGACCGCCCCCTATGCACTCACACTCATCCTTGCTACAGTACGTACTAATGCATGTAATTGCGCTCCGCTTCATTGCAGTTATCACGACGAGATCTTTCATCACATCTGGTTGTTTGGGAGAAGATATCAGTAGCCTTGACGCCTGGCTACCTCCAAAGATAACCAGGTATTGCCACCAAACACGTTGACCGATTCAGCGGAAACATATAGAGAGTATTCTTACTCTTCTGTTTACCATAACGTGTAGATGCGATATACAGCATGGTAATCGGCTCGTACCGAAAGGAAATTCGCGTGTGGGAAGACCTAGCTTCTGAGAGACTCGAGGTATTACTCGGGGTGGCTGGCGGAGACCATCATCCGAAGATGAGCCCTGGTGATAGTGGAAGTAATTCCAGCGGCTTGTGGCGCGGGCCTCGCCGACGATCCAGCCGGACCTGGCACCAGCGGAGCCTGCAAAACGAGCAGGTGGCGCAGGAGCTGGTCTTTGCTCCATAAGGCTCGGCTGCCCGGACCATACCCTTTGGGAAGAGATGTCTTTGGTGGCATCGTTGCATACGTGCATGCTTCTCCTCATTGCATTTCAGAGAGATGATAGAATTCTTTCCGTGGGTTTGAGACAAGAGGATACAGCCAAACTTATGCACATGCCATAAGATATCTTTTTCAGCAGTCCTCGGCAGTCTTCCTGTAGCACCTTCAAAGATAACCCGAGGCGTAATTATTGGAAGATGGGAGCATGTCTTCGCCCGTTAGCGTTTGTTGATCAGCTGAAATGAGGGTTGGCTCGTGTCATATCCATTCCAATGTGGGCTCGAAATTGTGGTCACGAATGATGCTAATCTAGATCATGTACTTCATCCGAGGCCAACAGGTGAAAATGGTATGGAACTCTGTCACTTGGATCAAGCCAGCTGTATTAGGGATAGGGGGTCATCAGAATGTAACGAAGCCAGTAGATCAAGTCCATCTGGAATCTGTAGTCAAAGAGCAGTAAGAGATAGTCTCTCTCTTTCTTACTCAAAGGGGGGCAACCCCTCCAACCCAACCCATCATCAGGTGATTCCCACAATGGCGAGTGACTTTCTGGCGGAGGAGGGCAGACCGGAAGTCAGACCTTCAAAAAACCTTCAGGTACCCAAAAGCGGCCTCGTGCAGGGCCCCATTTGGCTTTCTGTCGCATACAGCGCCAGCATGGTCCGACGCCAATAACACGAAGGGGAGCAGATGAGGCGGATTGAGTTGGCGTGTTGACGGTGCCAGCAAACGAGTTGACATCCTTTGGGCTCCCCCGCAGTGGAGCCTGTGCTGGATGGGTGCCTGACCGCCAGGCCGAAGCCTTGCGCTTGACAGGCCACTAACCGCCCGCGATCACGCGTCTTCACTATGCCTTGAATGGCATGAAGAGCTGCTGCGGCACAAAGGTGCAGGTGCAGTGCTGCACCTCACCAAAACTAACAACCGCATTCCCAGCCTCGTTCTTCAATCCACCTTCTTCAACCTCCTTCTGTCCCCCCATTGATGTCCCCGCTGTCCTCACTGCCGTCTAATGCCTCTACACCGGGCCCCATTCTAGCTCGGCCATGTTTTCCGCCCATGATCATCAGGGCCCGAGTTACTGGGGAGTGTTGATCAATGCCGATAAGAGTCCGGCCCCGCTGCTGGAACAGCTGTGCCTGGAAATTGCCCGCATCATCGTAAGTCGCGAATGGGGGGAGCTTCTCCTGAGTTGCTGCGCACTATGAATCCAAGCTTATCTCCCATTGTTCGCGTGCGAAGACATCCTTCGACGACTACGCTACTGCCGACCTCACTCCAGAACGACTGGCAGCTTTTTATCGCAAGGTGGGCGGCAACTACGACGTCCTCTTTCTCCAGACCAAACCGTCCGCGCTTTCCTTCATCTACCAGCGCCTGGGATGCTTTCATAGTATTCAGCCTACCTCCGACCCTTATAAACCCCCCGCCATTCCAGCTCTTCAGCCGAATGGCTTTGTGCGATGGCAGACCATTCAGCTCCTTCTCGATCCGGACGAGCATTGCCGGTACCTTCAGAATGCGGTCGAATTGTGGGACATTGAAACTCCGAGTGGGGAGTTCTTTCCCAAACAAATTCCGCGGGAGGCTTTTCCAGACAGACCAGATCCGGAAATGGTAGAATGGCACGAGTCGGTTAGTCGACGCTTCGAACTCGATTACATTAAGAGAAACATCTTGCGTGCATCTCCTCCGAGCTTTGGCACCTACCATTCTCACTTCTCCAACAAAGACATACCACTCACCAGGGAAGAGACCAGCCTCCCTCCACGGCGTCGGTCGTCAACCCATCGCCCTCACCTAGTCCCAGAGGAACCTTCCCCTCCCAGTAGGCACCAGAGGCGTCGCAGCGGCGAGTACCCACCGTCCGCCACCCGTCGGGTTCAGTCAACATACTTCCCCCGTGTACCAGACGTTGAGACGCCTCGCCGAGCTCCTTCACCTCCCATGTGGACCAAGTCTGCTCCCAAACCAAGAGGTCGCGATCGCACTCCGGCGTATTCCCGGCCTGTCAGTCCAAATACATTGCCTGGGAACAGTGCATCCGATGCGTCATCCGAAGATTCTGGAGGTGCAGTACGCCGCGCGTCTCCCAGCGCTAATCGACACCATCGTCATCTGCGTCCAGACACTCCGCACCATTCTCACGCTCGCCGCCATTCGCATGAATCCTACGCCAGAAGACCCGAACGGGCATTCTCCCCGGATGATCAGCGACGATACATGCACCGGGACATGTACAATGCCAGCTCGGCCAGACCCTACGACTCCGATGGTCCCCGTCGGGCACGCTCATCGAGAATATATGCCGAGGAGCCGGTCCGCCCTCCCCGGACTCCAAGGCCAACATTCCGCGACCACGTGTTTAGCGATCCCGCAGCTGTCCCCGTCAATCATGAAGTACCGGTATACACGCACGTGCACCCTCGATACATGAACAGGAATGGCAGCTATCCAGTCCGACCGCCTCCCCCACCCGACGTCGACATGCGTGCGGGCGATGACGGCCGACGGAATTACAGAGGACCTCACGTCAACCCCAACGCCTCTGGTTTCAGTAACTCGGCAACTCCGGAGCGTTCCCGCTACCCCTCAGGCGGATATCGGCCTCAGAGATGGGCCAATCCGGTACAGCCATCGCCAGCCCGAGGAATCCCCGTAGGAATGCCGGACATGGAATATCCTCCGAGAAGCCGACGGTCCACCATGTACGACCGGTGAACAATCCCAACAACCTTTTCTTTACATCTGTCAACAAGAATGATCACTCCTACTCAGAATCACACCTCTAAGCACGACAACAAAGACTATTACCCACCTAATGAATACACGTTACCCCAGACTACAGTACTTCTACGCTACAAGACTAAAGAATGACACCGCGCAGAGCCATTATTGACGACAGCAAGAACGAAGCGGGGTATGGAATACATGAATGACCGGCGTTTGACTTGCTTGGGCGGTTTTTTGAATGGCCAATACCCCACATTTGATGATAATGCTACGTGCTACGATATGATATGATATGATGAACTGACGGACCCGATGGCGGTCGGCTATGTTACGATTAACGACGATACGAGTAT